TAGCAAATGCAAACAGTGCCAATAGCCAGAGCCTTCTTTAGAGGAAACAAAACAGCCTTGTTCTGTTCCACTTCTATTGATACTTCTTAATTTAATCTTTTTGCCTCCTTTTGAGTAGGCTTTGGTGATACAATTCTTCCAAAGTGTAACTGAGGACAGTTTGCCTTTTTTACCCTTCTTTTTACAAAGCCTCTGAAGGCCTCAAACGAGAAGAAAAAACTTTACAAAACTCATGCAGGTATGTTATTAACAGGTAGCTGAAGGATAAAACAGCCTTCTCAGAAAACCCCAGGCTATCTTTTAACAGCGTGCCTGCACTGTGTTGTGGCTTGACATACTGCTTCCATGGTGTGACCTGCTATAAATGGTGTTTGTTACAATTAGGTCTTTTTAGTTTGTCCTAAAAGATTTTACTTGTTTGTCATCATATTAGAAACATAATGTACACTCTATAAGAAAAGCAATATACAATATACTATACATCTTCTATTTCAATGCCTCTAGTTTTAGGCTAGTATTCATATAAATGTTTATAATCAAAATACAGGTTTTCTTGTTCTTCACAGGACCAAGCAAAGTTTTGCCTTGTCTAAATACTAACAGTAACATTTCTATTCAACAAATACTCTTTTCTCATGCTTCTAGTTTACTTGTGGTGGGCTCCATCCTATTGATTCCCCATTAATGCATTTGAAAGGGAAAAGTGATGAGCTATTTCAGTGCATGACCTTTGCACAGTACCTGATTCATAAAGATAAATAGATCCAAAATTTCATTTATGAGTTACTAGTGACCAGCAAAAGAACAAAAATCCTTTGATGTTTGGCTGAGGAAATTCTTAAGTCCTTGCATTGCTAACACAGTTTTGCAGTTTTTTGAGTCATTATAATGGATGTATTTGATGAAGCCTTTGCCATAGACACTGGCATCTTCATAGAAGTTGTTCCAATTTCTGCTTCCAGTTATAAGTGGGAGTGTACTGTAGTGGAAAAATTATTTGGATTAAAAAACCCCCAAAAATTCAAGTTTTCTTTAGGACAGTTCTCACTTTATTTGACCTCATCCTCTGGTAGGTAGCTCACTTTAATTCTTGTCATAATAGTCGTACAATATCCATAAAAAGTGTTTCTCCAGAGAAACTTCAATCAAAAATATTTTGATCCTGATTGTGACTGGGATGCCTCTATTTCAGAGCTAAGTCACTGAAGAGGTGATCAAAGAAGACAGGCCTCTATTTCAGAGCTAAGTCACTGAAGAGGTGATCAAAGAAGACAGAATATTAGGACAAACCAAAAAAAAATTTGTGTATATGGTTAAAAAGGTGATATGATGGGGAAGTTATTGAATTGGTTTTTTCCTCATTAAAATTTGCTGATTGCATAACAACTGCTCATAAAATATTTTTTTTTCCTTTACTGTCTTTCTTTTGAAGCCAAAAGATCTCCAAGGCAAAAAAAAAAGGTACCTGATGACTTTGTACAAATTACATAGCAAACACAATCCAGACACCAAATCCATCCAGACTTTAGCAGTCCCAAAGTTAGCTAATTGACTGGAAGTCATTGACAGAGCTTGTTCTTCTGAACATTGTGATAACACAGTGTGAAATGCACTGTGTTGGCTGCTCAAGATACCACCCAGCTGTATTTATTATTCTTCTCCCATTGCTTGAAAAGGAAAAAAACATAATAGCTTAGGTCTGTGTTCTGCATTACTCAAGTTCTCATATGTGCAGACTGCATTTGGTAGTGTGTTATAGACTTGCTTTCTCATGACAGAGAAGATGGTTTATCTCTTTTGTAGTACCCTTTTTTTTTTTTTTTCCTGTCTGTAATTTTTTGATATCTCTTCAACCAAGTCAGTAGCTTTTGGGGCTGCTCAATGCCTGGAAATCCTGGATAAAAGGCCACACTAAACATTTGCAGAACAATCCTGCATCTCAGGTGAGAAGTTTTGTAAGAATGTTTTAGGTTCATTGCTAGGGGCAGACCAACTTTTTGAGTTCAGCGGGCTCACCTTACGCTGTAGAGCTGATGTGTAAAGGCACAACACATGTTGACACAATTCTCAGAGCAGACACATAGTGAATACAGTTCAGAGTGGCAAATCCTGAGAAAAACAGAATTTGCAGCAATTGGAATTTCTGATGTTGGCAAGAGTACATGATTTGTAGCACCTACTGTCTT